TAAATAAAGAATTAAATTTGCTCAAAAACCGTAAATATTGAAAAAAAAACGAATACATACCATAACAAAGAAACATAACAATACAATTTCTAAACCATGTGCAAAACTAAGGAGAATTCAATAAATTTTCCCGCAAATTTTCATCGGATCGGATTTTTTAGAATTTTTTTGAGTATGCCGTTTTGTAGCCAATTACATTTTAGTACGTGCAAGTTTGAAGTAGCTAGGACTTACCGTTGATTTTTTGTAATTTGTTTTTCCTCCCATAAAAAATACTTTGTATGGAAAAAAATGCGAAACACCCTTTACAAAAAAATTCTTAAAAAAGAACGTGATTTTTTAGAAATTTAAAACTTGTATTTTTAATATTTAAATTTTTATATTTAATTTTTTTAAAGTTGAAAATTTTAATGGAAGTTTATTTAATTTTTCTGAGTTTAACACAAAGTTTAGAAATCGTATTTTTATGTTTTTGTTGTAGTATTAACCATATTTTTTATAAAAAAAAATAGCGGAAAAAATTAAAATGACATTTGTTGGATACGTTGTGAGAAATTCTCTGGGCAAATACTTTTGGCCGTGAATGTACATAGTGACTAATTTCTAGCTTCTTAAAATATGACTAGAAATTGGATCAAGACTCATCACAACGAATGGAATTTTGCTGCTTTGGCATAAACTAAAGTTTGTGCGAAAACTTTGGTACGCTTCAAAGTTTGATGCAGTTGAAAAAAGAGAAGAATTTCATTTTTGTTGTGTACATATGTATATGTATTTGTTAACATTACGATTAAGCACATCTGCCACTGACGATTAAACAATTAGAGAAAATATACTTCAATTCTAACAACTTAAACGGCGTAAAATATAATGAAAATAATTTACATGTCGACAAAAGTTTATTTATTCTTTCTACTTTCAAACATTACATCTATAAGGTTGAAATTGTGACCAAAATAGATAATACTCCTGCCTTGCCGGAAGCACCAACAATCGAAAAGAGATATTGTATATTTAACCTTACTATTTAATTTAACCAAACATGATTTGCATGTCTATTTTGAATGAATTTTGCGGTTATCTATTTAAATTGCTTGTTAAGAATGTTGCAAAAATTAGCACAAAACCTTGAAACTAAAAATGAAAAAAAAAACTTATGTGGATTGGGTGCCATCCCAGAAGATAATTTTGGTAGGTCTTCTTAAGTAAAGCTATTCTAAGAGGCCTACCCAAAAAGGACTGAAAAGTGCTTCCTTGCATACCATCTAGAAGGGCGTATCCATTTACAATTTACGCGAATGCATAAATTTATATTATTTAGCATTACAAATGAATTTCAATAAACATTTTAAGTTGCCATAACACATATTTGATATAAACCTTAAGCAAATACTCCAAAGATGTAGGATTTTTATAAATTAAAGAAGCAACTTTAAAAGAACTCCTCCAAAAGGCCTTCTGAAGTAAGTAAGTAAGAAATTGGATCAAGACTCATCACAACGAATGGAATTTTGCTGCTTTGGCATAAACTAAAGTTTGTGCGAAAACTTTGGTACGCTTCAAAGTTTGATGCAGTTGAAAAAAGAGAAGAATTTCATTTTTGTTGTGTACATATGTATATGTATTTGTTAACATTACGATTAAGCACATCTGCCACTGACGATTAAACAATTAGAGAAAATATACTTCAATTGTAACAACTTAAACGGCGTAAAATATAATGAAAATAATTTACATGTCGACAAAAGTTTATTTATTCTTTCTACTTTCAAACATTACATCTATAAGTAAGTAAGTTCAATAAACATTTTAAGTTGCCATAACACATATTTGATATAAACCTTAAGCAAATACTCCAAAGATGTAGGATTTTTATAAATTAAAGAAGCAACTTTAAAAGAACTCCTCCAAAAGGCCTTCTGAAGTACGTCCTATAAAAGCCTTTCTGGAAGGCTTTCTATGGGTAGCAAAAGAAGGAGCCCTTCAATTTGTGTCACTCCATACAATAAAGAAAGGAGAAAGGAATGTAGAGTGGAAGGCCTCTTGACTCTTAAGAAAGTCTTTTTTAATTCCTGACATTATCTGCTGGGATAAAATAAAAAAGATGTTCGGGGTTGCCCTGAAGCTTGGAATATGCTCTTTATACCTATTCTCAAACCAGTTAGCGAAAATATTCGGATCGCTATCGCAAGTAGCTGACGAGTGTTATGAATGTCACACGGTGAGTGTCACTAGAGCTGAGGGAGGAGCCTTCAATATCATCCGAATTGAAAGAGCTCGGCATGCTCCCAGTTTTATAAACTTAGCTAATATTTGGAAAAATATATATATGGGCAAATAGTAGGAGCTATTATAACAACACATCTTTGAATTTTGATGATTAAACTCAAATTATTAGGGTAAAAAATAACAAAAAGCCCAATTTTTGTGATGTGTATAAAAAAAAACATTAAATAATCCAATAAAAAAAAAAATAAAAAGTTGCAATCATTTTCTTAACACGCATATTTAACCAGGCACAATTCGGAAACCTTACGAAGATGTTCAAATTTTTTTATCACATTAAGGCGTATTATCTATTATATCAAAACTGAATGTTTGACGCACAGGAAAGCCTCTCCAGCGATTAGTCAGCGGCAGTAAATTAAATAACAATTTATCAATTAAGTCGAGAGAATATCAAGTTGCGCATAGCTACAAAATTTGATAGCCCAAAATAAAAGTGCTTAGCAAAAGTGTTAACAATCGTTGTTTATCATACGAATGTATGAATGTGCCTACCTTAGTATTAAAGCTAAAACAAAGCAAAAAGTAACAAAAAATAAACAATTTCATGGTGGCTGGAATTTGTGTAATGGGAGTAAGGTTTTCGCACGAAGAATAACAATCGAAATTGTTTTTATACATATTCTTTAACCTTTTTCATTGATGTTCCATGTATTAATATATGTATGTACATATACATACATACATATGTATGTATGTTTTTTTTCAGTTTTTTTGCAAAGAAACCAATTACCGAACAAGTGAGCAATGGTGTTAACTTTAAAAAGAAGAGTTTTATTTGTGTATTCAATAGTAAGTATGTGCATGGAGCAGGTATGTATGGTACATATGTATACATGTGCTATCTTATACATAAATATGTAGTTGTACTATCACCTGGCACGCGCTACACAATCAGCTTTCTTCGTGCCAAGAAGCCACACTCCCACTTAATTTGGTCAAAAAAATTGTCAGTCATACCGACAAATTTGTATCTTCGATCCAGTCTATATAGCGCCTTGTTGTTTGTGTGCACACACATGCAGGTACATACATACATATACATATGTTTATTTCGCTGTATTTACTTTTTGCACTCTTTCTTTATTCCATTTGCTTTTGTTGCTATTTTTATGCGAACAGGTTTCAAGCTTAGTCTAGTTAAAATTCGCACAAAGCAAAAAATGTTTATAAATATACGCAAATAATGTAGGTACTTTAGAAGCAGGCAACGGTTGAAAAAATCAACAAGTAACGACGGGCAGGACGGAAAGTGGGGAAAAATAAAAGAATGTGACAAAGTTGCTTGGCGAGAAAGGCGTTTTTAGCAATGAAAAGGCTAATGATAAAGATTTCGGTTATTAAAAATAAGAATTTAACATCAGCGTATACGAATTCCATTGAAATTGGCATTTGAGAAAATATTATATTTTTTTTTGTAATTTTATTTGCTTTAACTTCTTGCTTAGTTTTAAAGACAACATCAGAAATGTCTTTAGTTAGCATTGTTATCGCATTTAAAATTTCCTTACTGTGCCCCTTAGTTCGCAAGGTATCAGCGCTGACGCGCGACCTTGATACATTTTTTAATTATATGCAATTAAATTTTGCTAATTTTTGCACAAAAACAAGGCCTAATTTTTTGTGGATACTTTTTGTGTTTAAGCGAAATCAAAAATATACATAACATATAATATATAAAAATAAGAAATTTAAAATTTGTCTTTTAGCTTTCGGTTTTTTCCTAAAAATGGAGCGAAATGCAAATTGCTAAAGTGTACCTTTATACGCCAAGCTAAGTATTAGTGATATCCTGTCAAACTGGAAGTGCCTCGGAATTGTAGCAACTTTGAAACTCTAGTTCTTCCATTCCTTGTGCTTAAGGGAAACGCCTGAACATCATCATTTGTTATAATTTTTAAATAACAAGTATGTAATTTTTAAGCAAAAAAAAAACAAAACCGACTCAACTTGTCATATAAAAATTTAATAGTACCGTTAATTTCTTCATGATTGGATCTAAACCAAATTAATATGGGACCACCCTTGAGGCAACACCTTTCCGTTAGATCGAAATCGTTCGACGTGGTCCAAAGTTATGCGATAACATACATAAAAAAAATAAAATTAAAAAATATTCCGGCGAATTGATATCCTTCTACTTATTTTGAAGTCGGTTAAAAAAATGTTTTCAGAAATCAGTTTAAAGCCACATGTAGGTACATACATATACTATGTACCTGCATACATATGGAAGCACATGCGTATAACACCTTTCAAGTTGTCTGCGTTGAATTTTTTGTTGCAAATTTTCTTGCTTTCTTCTCCCAACTTTGGCATTTTTTATGGAGAAAGTTGCCTACACCAACGGTGAAACAACATTTTTGCGTAGATAATTTTCGACTGCAATTCCCCCAACAACGGGCGTAAAGAATAAATTGTAAAAAAAATGGAGTGTGGTGCAATTTGAAATAACGTGAGCTGTATATATCTACATGTCTACATACATGTGTACCTATGTATATACATAAAAAAGTATCTATGTACGTTTATACTCGCCTAAAAAGCCGGTTAGTAAGTATCCAGTAAAAAGAGGCATCGGCTTCATGGCAGGCAATAAACTTTAACAACCACCACCATTACCATCCATTTTTTTCATTCAATATTAACTCCGCCATTATATCAGGAATTCATTTAATGCTTATAACTCAATGATTTTTTATTGTCGTACTTACCATCTACACGAGGCGAGGTATCGTGGAAATGCTTGATCACATTAAGTAGCTTTTCGCGGAATAGATACTTTAGACTGGACCATTTGAAGACTGTGTCACCAGTTTTCGCCACATACTGCAAGTAATCGTCTAGCTCCTTAGGTATCTCCTTTTGCTTGAGTCGCGTGAAGCGCTCCAAAATTTGCATAACTTCTTCAGCGTTTTCCATATTAACCATTTATTCTAGGGTATTCGAGAAGAAAACCGGGATGCAAGCAACTGTCTGTCTTTCAGCAAATGGAAATTTTTACTAGCTCCGACTGTTTAACTCTCGGTAGCTTCCCCTTTTTTAAATTTTCAAAATGTAAAAAAAAAAAACTAAACCAATTTCGCAATACTTCGTGTTCCTGCTGCGTCTGCAACGGCTGTTAAGGCTGGCTGGCTCGCTCTTGCCACCACTACGAATTCGATGATGATATAGAGACACAGCAACGACGTTCGTTCGCAACCGGCAATGTGTCTTTTAAATTTTTCGCTGCTCTTCTCGCTGCACAATGACGACGAAGTTATTATTCTTTGTGTAGGAGATCGAAGCTGAGTTTCGGTTTTTCACTTTGGTTCTTTTTCCAAAACTGTGGCAAAAAGATAGCAGCAAATTTGCAAAACGAAAATGCGACTCAGTGAATTCCAGAGACAAGCTATTCACGACCACAGCTACAATACCGACGATTACGACTGAATACGGATACGGGAACCGGCGATGGACACGACGACAAAGACCACGATGACTGAAAAACGGCACGGCACACAACTATCGTACACGGGCGCGTATAGGCGGACAAAAGTGCACACACACACGCACACAGACACCAAACGGAACTGAAAGCGATGTGTGGATGCGAAAAACAAGCAGCCAGACGAACGTTCCAATAACTCCTCAACGGTGCGAAAACTCCAGACAAGCAGTTATACGTTCTAGATGATATTAGAGCTGGCGTTTAAGTTGGCTTCTGCCACAAATGTTGATACGAGCGGCGGTGGCTATAGTACATACAACAATTTTATAAATTACAGATATATACGCGTTCCGTGATGGTGATGCGTTGCGATGATGACTGTTGGATGTGCGCTCAGAGACTGAACTGAAACGTATAAGCACGAAAACCTTGACGATATGCACAGCGATACTCAATTTGCAGACAGCAGGCGGCTGGCAGCGAGCTACAACCGGCAGATATATATGTTTGTTTAGGAAAAGTGTAACTACCCGGCGTTTTTACAGCTGCAACTCTTAACTCTGGACGACTGGCTGGCTGACTTGCTGCGCGAGTTTGCAACTGGAATTAAGAAACTTTTACTATTGTTGTTGTAGCTATTACGGCTGCGACCCTTGCTGGAGAAGAGGAACAGGCGCAAAGCAGACAAGAGATTTTCTCTTGGCGACGCCACACGTTATGCAGCTGCTCCGATTTAAATGTATGCTGACGACAACGAGATGTCTACGTGCTCGGTTGTATGAACGATGCAGGTAAATTCTGTCGATTTTTTGGCACTCAGTTTTGCTCCTGCAAAATGCAAATGCTTAGAAAGTATATCAAAATGGTGTGTATGCATAAATATTTTGTATAGATACTGCAAAATGGAAGTGCAAACCGCTTTGGAGCAAAGCGGCACAATTTGAGGCAGCGAAATTTTCGCCGGCAGCGTCGTAAACGTTAACGTCACAGCGCTGCTGGCGTATTTACTCTAGTATGTTTGTATCTTCTAAAAAAACTCACCTGACGAAAGAAGCACACTGGTTCTAGTAATTGCTTACTTTTAAGCAGTTTTTAACACTTTATTTGCGTTATTTTAATAAAACTTGAAACACACAATTATTCAAAGCGCCTGCTTTCCACGAGCGTTTGGCTTTAATAAAAAATTTAAGCTTCCAGTGGGTAGCGGAATAGACTCATAGCGATGTTGCCAGCTTTTGCGATAATTTAGTGTGTTGGAAGTTATTGAAAATGGCTTCAAATTTAGTATTTTTGAAATTAATATATCTATCAAACTATAGATACCTTATAATATAAAGCGCTAAAAAATACTAGTTTGCAGTAAATTTATTGGAGTAGGCATTAAAGAGTTTGAATCAAGTTATGGATTAAGCCAATTTTTTGCAACAATCAGGTGGCACTTGCTAACAGCTGTTTGCATGCACTAGCTTTGTTTCTTTACAGAAATTATCACTAGTTTCTGCTTCTGCTGTAATGCGTTTTATATCCCAAAAAGCTAGCAGAAACCAATAGCTCTCTTTAGCGCTCTCCTTTTTTGCCTCTCCGGCAAAACAAAATGGGAATAATTTAGTTTGTTTAGAAATGAATTTATATACCTAATAATAATAATAGTTTGACGCTTACAAATACGCTAGTGTTTAGCCGAGCTTCTCCTCCGATTTGTGGCGTGCGCCTTGATGTTGTCACACAAAGTGGAGGGACCTACAGTTTTACGCAGACTTCGAACGGCGATTGTATTTTTATAAGAAGCTGTTTTTCATGGCAGAAATAAACTCGGGGGTTTTCTATTGCCTGCCGAGGGGCGATCTATCTATCTAATAGTATGCTCAAAATAAGCTCACAGTTGGCTCACAGTAATACCATGATCTGACCGAGATAAAAACATATTTCGTTGCTAAAATTGGTTTTCGACCTAAAACTTGTGTAATCGTTCATGTGAAATCTGTCAAACGAAAACCAGCTTTCGCTGAAAACTCAGGTTCCACTCATTCCAATCGGTGTCTGCACTAGTTTTTTTCGATAACTTATCGAAGTGGAAATCATACTTAGGGCCGGTTACTCAATGTCTGGTTAACACTAATCTGCGGTTAGATTAGTGTTAACCAGACATTGAGTAACCGGCCCTTAATCATCTTGAATATGCCAGTTCGGGCTTATTCAAGAATGGTAGAGTACAAGATTGCGCCGATTGCAGCAGAACTCGTGAGAGTAATTTTGGCGTGACGTCACCGTAGAGTTGACAGCTGAGAGCGGCAAATAAAACTGCTGTCTAGTGATGTGCTGAATTGTCGGTACCCAATACTTGATTCCGTCACCAGTTAGCGACAAGTTTTAGATCGATATCGCACTTGCTGACGTAAAAATATTTCATATCATACGTCAACAAAACCGATACCGATTCGAAAATTGTCGCTAACTGTTCCCAGAATCTGCCTACAAAAATGATATCGTCCGATTCAGATGGAACAAAAATGCTTCAAACAAGTAAAAGTTTCTCTGTATTATGGCCTCGAACCGACATATATACATCTTTCATTTGAATCAGTATTAAAAGCTCTATTGGCTCCTACATTCGGGTTATGATAGGCGAGTCTCCCCTTAACCGTTTTTTCCATATTCCATACCTAAATGTTTCGGTACCGAGTATCGAGAGTAAAAGTATTAACTCAGCACATCACTACTGCTGTCAGCTCGACTGTGACGTCAGCAAAACAGCTGATTATGTCAAGTTCACTGAGAGCAGATTAGCGGTATTGCCATCGGCGCCATCTTCTGTATTCTCGCCACCGTGGGGCTTATTGTTAATAGGTTGACTAAATAAGAGAGTGTGTCAATCGGTAACAAAGTTCGCGCCCAATAAATTTTTGAAAACTATAAGGTGAATAAAATTTCAGTAGGTCATGAGGCTAGTGAAATTTTTGACAAATGCATACAAAATTTTGACAACCGCAAAGATTGTTGATATGTGCAATTTTTCGTTAAATAAAAGCTTAAGCTGATGAACTGCAATCAACGATGGTAGATGTTTTCTTAAAATATTATTTTATTCCGCATAAATCTGCGGTTATCAAAAATTTACTGCTATCAAAAAATATTTCATTTAACACAGCAGATTTACAAAATCACCAGAATAAAAGAAAAAAATTGTTAATGAGGATCTAAGAAATGTCAATGAAATACTAATAGGTTGTTAATGAGAAGAAAATGAAAGAAAAGTATTTTTTTTTTATTTTAGCAAAATTATCAACAAAGGATCTTAGAAATGTCAACGAAAACACTAATAGCTGGTGTGAACAGGCTTCAGCCCGCAATCCGAAAACTCATTTTCAAAGTGTTTTCGTTGTCGGTCAGAACATGGTACAAATTTGCCGGTCTAGACATTTAAAAAGTTTAAATGGAGCTTTGGCATACGCCGTTTTTTGCAACAAGCAGGTGGTGTGGTTGCTAACAGCTGTTTATTTGCAATGCTCTCAAAAATGTATACTGTTAAAGAGTGGCAGCTAAACTGTGCATTATATTAATCAGCTCTGTAGGAAATATGCTGGTAATGGAAACGGTAAGGAAATCGTGTGAAATTGAAGTGTTTTTTTTATTAGATGGGTATATCTTTATTAAATATGATTATTTCTGAAGGGCAAATTAATGGGATCTCTAATTATCTTTCAGTTATGTATATTTAACTCAGCTAAACTCAGAATTCGCAATGTCATCAGGAAACATTTTAAGTCATGTAGATAACAGTAGGTAGCTGAGAGTTACAAAATGTTTAATTTCTTCGAAATATACATATGTAGATACATGTACGTACATATGCATTCATGTATATATATACGGCATAGTTAAAAGAATCCGTAAAAACGTTCATACCCTTTTAAATACAATTGTGCATATGTGTGTATACACAAAATGTTCTTTCAAAAGTAGTCGCTCACTTACCTGCAGTCACGTGTCTTTCCTTTTCCTTTGTTCATAAATACAAGATATCCTACATTTCCATTGATACTCTAAGATCTAAGAAAACACACATCCATCAAAATACATACAATATGTTCATGATCTTCGGTTTGAAAAAAGGACGCGAAAATACGAACAGCTGTTCCATTTATGGTCACACCTGCATGCCATGCCATTAAAACGTCTCTGGAATTAACGATTTTACATGCTTCATACAGTATACACCCGTATAAACATATGTATGTACATACATAAATATATTTACTTAACTACATATGTAAATACATATAAATATATGTAATTTCATACGCACATGGCAATTAATTATAATTTCTGTCAAGTTTTAATAAGTGTCTTTAAGAGTTCTATTTAGCTTTCCGGTCGAATGGACCCAGGACAGCAAGGAATCGCTGGGAGTACTGATAGAAGTATAAACTTTCGTAACTGCGCTGAATCGGGAGAAAACCCGATTATCGGATGCTATAAGGATAACGTTGATGGTGACGACCTTATTTACATCAAATAAGCTGGGCACTACTGCAAAAGGTAGATAAGCTGGTGGCTACCTACGAGGTTCATCGACGTTTTTAAGGACTGATTGTAAATACGTTCCGAAGATTTCGGAGAGTAGCGTGTAGCTACTTGTATAACCATTCCCACGACAGCCGGTTGTACGTACCGGAAAGGCGCGGGCTCTACCCGACCAAGGGCTTTTGTTTCAGCGATCTAACCCTATTTTGGTCGGCGAAATCTGTTAGAGGTTGTTCGTATATGGGGTAACATCTGCTCCGCATTCCTCTGCTAAGGAGTAGCAAAGTGTCAAACCCTGGACCAGAAACCTATACTTGGCGCGTATGCCAGAAAAGATTATACCCAAACTCGACTTCAGTTTGGTGTAATGGATAGTCACCTCCACCTCAGAACATACTCAGGTCTTAGAATTAATCGGCAGTTGACAACGTAACTTTTAGCCCCATGCTGTTCACACATATAAATCAACACCGCAGCCACAGTGATCCACAACACATACTAAGAACCGGTGCTATCAAATACCTAGACAGCCTCCACGGCTCAACGGAGTTCACCTGAGGAACACAACTATAACACGTCCACAACCCAACATAACACAAACTAGCCACACGCCGCCGCAACCCACGAGCGAGGACAAATCAGCAGTTCCTAGTTCCTCGCAAAATCTATTCGGTGTGCCGGTCCAGGATATACTGTAAAGCGACATCACTAAAAAATAAGACAGCACTTCCAACTGCAGCATACACAACCAATTCCCGGTAGGTAACAACACACCTCACCAACACCCCGTATTGCGATTAGTCTCCGAAGCCACACGAGGACGACACAATTTAACTGTAACGGACTCCAGGGAAAGATCGAGGAGATAACCGTCTTCATGGCACGGAATATTGACAGCTGCGGTCCAAGGGACGAACCTGCATAGCAATTCAACATTGTAGAACTGCGCCAGATACAACGTGCACCGTCGAGATCGCGAGCGATTTAATGGTGGAGGCTTAGCGTTCGTCACGGATTACACCGTGCAGTATCGTCTTATCAAAGCACCTTAGCTTCAACGAACTTGGCGGAGAAATCGGCACCGAGACTATAAATAAAAGGACAGCAATTTAGCCAGAGTAATTTACGAACGAATCTAAAATGTGTAAAGGGATACAAGCTGTTGTGTTTTGTCTTAAAGTTTTGGCTTGAACAGCCATATAAGCCTCCGGAATATTGCATAATTTTCTAGACTGAAATTTATGCTGCGGCACTAACTTCTTAAAGCTCTCGCATATGTATGTATTTTCATGGGAAGAAATTAATGCAGCACTGGCTATAATGGCGTACTCGCTTCGTGTTCCACAATTCATACATACATAGGGGACATGAGCTCTGCGTTAATAGACGAGTCGCTAATTGCTGGGAGCAAGAACACAAAGCAATTGAAGAGAAGCTTCTTAAGAAAGAAGTGACATCTCGAAGGAGAAATCCTTGTGGGAAATGTTGACACATTACAGGACCAGCAACTATATTCTAACACTTCCAAGATTGGATTTCAAGAAGCTTGGCGTACTTACTCCTGGACGTATATAGTGTTTTCGAAAACACTCTTTCGGAAAACTCTCTAATAGACTCTTGTATCCAGCGCTGGATAGAAAGATTAAAGGATAAAGCC